GCGGACGAACTAGCTATGCTCCCTACAGCCGGACCGGAGGACAGCAACGTCGCGACCCTAACGCTATAGAACTCGACGCTACTTAACGTAAGTTTGGAGGAGGCAAAACCAATAGAGTAGGAGCCAAGGGCAAGAACCACGCCTAGGGTAAGAAGCAAGGACTGAAGTGCTATTCGTGCGGAAAGGAAGGACACTACGCACGCGACTGCCGTAGCCGTAAGGTGCAACTATAGCAGAACTATAGGGCGGATCTTAGGGAGGTCAACGCTATAGAAATCAACGTTACAGAACGACGTAATCCATTCGCCGAACATATTTAGGAAGCCATTAACGTCATTTAGTTAGGAATGCACGCTAGTAAGGAATTAGCCAACAGCAACGCTGTACGACAAACGTAATCCGAGATCGCCAATACGATAGGCTTAATAAGGAAGCGACACCCCAATCGTAAGGACGAAATTATTAAATAGGAGAACAAGTTCCTCGAACTACTCGGAACGGTCTCTACGGACGACATTTACGTCATCCGCGACACGATAATAAAAATCGGAGGAAGCGTCGGAAAAGACCTAGATAACGAACACAAACAACTACACTAGACAGGATGTTATAACGACTCCTATACGACTTACTACTCGAGCAAGGCAGACTTAGGATGGTTTCCGAGTAAGCCTCGTCGAGAGTTTAATTCGACGGAATTATAGGGATCCAATAGTGCTGCGTATTAGCCCCCCATGTTCGAACTAGTGCTAGTTCGACAACGGCAACTACAGCAGGACAGAGACGACGGCATTTACGCCCGAGGAAGGTCTCTACCTCTACTTAGGTAGGAGGATACAACCCTATAAGAAACACAACAACCTTAGGAGGAGGAATCCGACGACGAAGAAGAATTAAGACAACTAGTCGTAATGTACGATTAGGGAAGCTTCGCGCTAACCCCTATTATACTAGACTCTAAGGACGGTCACGAGGACACGCCCGAGTTATTAGAATACGAATACACCGACGACGACAATAATAGCGATAACGAAACACTTAACTTTAGTATCGACGCACTAGAACCAATTAGACGAATAATTCTTATAATAGTTAGACAACACGAGGAAGTCTTCCCGAAGGTGCAAGGGAAACGACGACTACATCGAAACAACTTCGACTTACTACTTAATAGCCTACGGAGGGAGTTTTAGGACTATCGACAAGTCAACCTCGACGGAGGACATTACTACGTACGAGACACACCCCCGATAGGAAGCAAGTTCGATAGATCTAGAGGATATTACGCCCCAGACGGGATCTATATCAGCAAGAACATGCGAGACTACGTTAAGGTACTTGTATAGCGATTCGACGAGATCTACACGATATAGGAAAACTAGCAGAACGACCTTATTACGGAACAAGAGATAATCTAGCAGTGCAAGACTACGTTACACAAATAGTTATACGCTACAACCTATAGGATCCTACTACTACTAGTGTAGAAGGGACAGGTTTTCGGTAAATTGTTACTATTAACTAAAGGACCAGTATCGACAAGTATCAAACGAGGAAGAATCACACTATAGCCCAAGGACGGACCCCTTAGTTAGGAAGTCTGCCTTAAGGACCCCGAGCTTCTAGCAGCTCTAGAGACAAAAAACTAGGAGAGCCCGTTAGTAGGAACAGACCACGGGAACTCAACAACACGAATGTTCAATAGACTTTAGTAGTAGTCCTACGCACCAAATGCATTATACAAGGACACGAAACAATAGCAATAATCGACTCCGGAGCCAACGGAACGTTTATATCAGCCTAATTCGTGCAACGACACGGGATCGCAACCCGGAGAAAGAAGAATAGCGGGTACAAACTAATGGCCGTCGATAGCTCATCCCTACCCGACGTGGATAGTGAAACGATGCCACTATCCCTAACGATGCAACCGCACCACGAGACGATAGTCCTAGATGTCGTGCCTATAGCCAGACACGATATCGTATTAGGCACGCCTTAGTTAGAACGTTACAACCCATACATAGAGTAGAAAACAAGAGTACTTACATTTGAGCGATGCGTATACGTTATCGACATCGAGCCTACACGCCGGCAGAGTTTAGCGGTAGATAAGGAAAGACAGCATACACACACAGCTAGTTAACAACCGGAACAGGAGCTACGTAGTAGCCTAAGCTCGACAGATGCCGGAATGGATCTACCGGATTAACAAGTTAGAGCGAAGGAGGACAAGAACGCACCTCCAGGAATCCCTAAAGAGTTTATACGATGGAAACGCCTCTTTCAGGAAGAGATAGGGCTCGCGGCCTTGCCTATACACAGACTATAGGATTACAAGATACCAATCTAGCCTAGTAAGGAACTACTATAGGGACCACTTTACGTATTATTACAACGAGAGCTAGAAGAGCAGCGAAGCTAGATAGACAAGAACCTATCTAGGGGATGGATTGAGAAATCCCAATCGCCTGCCGCTTTACCCTTAATGTTTGTTCCAAAGAAAGGAGGAAAATTACGTATAGTTATCGACTACAGACGACTAAACTTAATAACGATTAAGAACCGATATCCGCTACTAAACATCGAAGAAATAAAGAACCGACTTACGGGTTCTACATAGTATTCGAAGATCGACCTACGGGACGCCTTCTACGCAGTACGTATAGCACCCGGAGAAGAATAGAAGACGGCCTTTAGAACGCGCTTCGGACTATACTAATTCCGAGTCATGCCAATAGGCTTAACAAATGCGCTAGCAACATACTAAGAAGTTGTTAACGACGCTCTACGCGACGTCCTCGACATTATAGCAATCGCCTATATAGACGATGTGCTTATCTTTACAAATGGTTCTCGAGAATTACACGCCAGACACGTCGGCGAGGTACTCGAACGCCTTAGCAATTTAGGCTTTAAGACTGCACCCAAGAAGTACAAGTTCTTCTATAAAGAGGTTGACTTCTTAGGCTTTATCGTTGGAGTTAACGGCATTCGCATAGATCTAGAAAAGATTAAGTTAATTATAGAATAGCCTACCCCAACGACAGTCCGAGACATTCAAGCATTCCTCGGACTAGCTAACTACAACCGAAAATTCATTAAGGATTACTTAAGGATAGCTACACCCTTAACTAACCTAACGAAAAAGGATATCTAATAGGATTGGACGACGACATAGGAGCAAGCCTTTTAGGAGCTAAAAGAACTTAGTGCATCCGCACCAACGCTCGCTATATTCGACCTAGAACGAGATGTTATTATCGAAACCGATGCCTCCGACTTTGCTATTAGTGCTTACCTTATACAGGAGCACAATAGAAATCGACACCTAATCGCGTACTTCTTAAGGAAGATAACGCTAGCGGAACAAAACTACGAGATTTACGACAAGGAACTGCTTACGATCGTCGCAGCATTACGACACTAGAGAATATACTATAAAGGAGCTATAGGACTAACTATCTACTCGGATTATAAGAATCTGCAATTCTTTACAACTACTAAAGATCTTTCGAGACGGCAGTATCGATAGTTAGAGCTACTTAGACAATACAAGTTCAACATTATTTATACTCCAGGAAAAGACAATAGGCGCGCCGATGCGCTAAGCAGACGAAGCGACTACACGGAGGGCAACGAGCCTAAACTAAAGCAGGTGCTAAAGGTTAACAAGGACGGAAGCCTTAGTACAAAGACTTAAGAGTTCAACTTAACTCTTCGGGTTCTGCGGGACGACGACGAAGAATTCCTAGTCGAGCATAGCAAGTACAAGGTACCGCCACCTAAGGAAAACGACTGCATTCGAGATTACTATAATGGGGAAGACTCCGGTTACCTAGGTGTTGCTCGAACAATAGAACACATTTAACGGAACTTCGCCTTCCTAGACATAAGACGAAAAGTCTTAGAATATATTAGGAGGTGTATTAGTTGCAACAAGAACAAGTCTTCGCGCTACGCGAAGTACGGCAACTTATAATTTCGGGAGCTACCCGAAAAACTATAGGAAGAAGTTATAATAGACTTTATAACCGATCTTCCTAAGTCACCTAACCCGGTAACAGGAGTATACTACGATAGTATCCTAGTTATGGTCGACAGGCTAACTAAGTACATACACTTCATTCCCTACAGCAAGACGATTACGGCCCCGCAGTTAGGCTGCCTTGTACTCGATCGCCTTATACGCTACTACGGGATACTAAAGGTTTTCATTACCGACAGAGATACCAAGTTTACATCGAACTACTAGAAAACACTTGTCGCAGCAATTGGACTCAAACACAAGCTGTCCACAGCATTCCACCCGGAAACAGACGGTCAAACCGAGAGAATGAACCAAAATCTGGAGCCATACCTCAGGCACTACATAAACCTAGCCCAAAACAACTAGGTAGAAAAGCTACCGATAGCCCAGGTTGCACTCAACAATAATGCCTCCGAGACGACTAGCGAATCGCCATTCTATGCCAACTACGGCAAGGACCCAAACCTGTTTATAGAACCACGCGAAGGACCAGCATCCAAAGAAGCTTTAGTTAAAGCCTCTAAACTAAAAGATGTCTACGGCAAACTACGACAAAATATCACCAAATCTTAGCGAACACTTATAAGGACGAGATTCAAAACCTCAAAAACGGCACCTTAGCTAAAAACGGGGGATAAGGTGTATCTCCTAACGAAGAACCTAAAAACCAAGAGAGGAACAAAGAAACTAGATCATGTAAAGGTCGGACCGTTTCTAATCGCTAAGAGGAGAGGCGAACTCAACTACCGACTCGAACTACCTAGGGATACTAAGGTGCACCCTGTATTTTACGTTTCCCTCCTCGAACCGGCGCACCCAGACACCGCGCTTCAAACGACATTCTACTATAAATCCTAGGAAAACTAAGAATAGGAGGTAGAAAGAATCCTAGAGAAAAAAGGTTAGAAATACTTAGTTAAGTAGAAAGGATACCCTAGCGAAGACAACACGTAGGAACTAAGGACTCACCTTAAGAATTGCTAGGACCTCCTGCGACAGTTTTAGGACTAGAGAAGTCAATCGCGTTGTTGACGAAGTCAAGCGAGGACCACACGGCCGGCGACAACCCTACTGTAGCATCGGCTGCAGGACAGTCCTCGTCGCCTAACTCTCCCGCAGCTTCCATCTCCGACTTAAGGCACGCGGCCTTCATCTTCGCTCGCTCATCCGCCTGCTTCAGAATTTTCTTATTCCGCATAAGACGACTAAGGACTATAGACAACTCCTCCTCGTCCTTCTCCACCTTTTTCCGATACTCCTCGCGAGTACGATCTAGCGACTCCTATAACATGTTTACACACTTGCGCCCTAGGCGGACGCACTCGGAACATCTCAGGCGGGAATTCGATTCCATTATGACGCAATAGTAACCAGAGAAGAGACAGCGCTTACAAGGGATTACGGCAGACTCCCCGTACTATTGTATTTCTTAAGCAAGGCGAAGTCGATTCTTAGTTATAAGAGAACTTATCTTCGGATAACGAACTTTAAGGTTACGGGACCCCGCGATTACTTATGGACCAAGCCAGGAATCGCGCTAAGCCATATTGGACCGATCACTACGCGCCGGCGTAACAACAGTCCGTTAGGGCGATAGGCCACCATAAGGACATAGGACCATGGACGGGGGATGATGTTACGGACATGGAATTCAATTATTAGTGACGAGTTAGGAACTAAGGCCTAAGGCCAGCAGACTAACTCTAGGGCTAGATATGGGATCACTTCATTACTAGGTGATCGAGTGATCCGGATCATAATCACTGTAGATGACTATAATCGGGTCGCAATCACCGTTGGTGATCGCGACCACACACGAATCTCCTATGTATATAGAGTAGACGTTTCCTATGTAGGTAGTTCGTGTTCAACCTAAGTTACCAACCCGCCGAAAGGTTAAACCTCAGAGCAGTTACTTACCCGACCCATCGCTTGGAACTCACTCGTCTAACGAGCTCTAACCCCCTTGTACCGCAGGTGCATAACAGCGGCCCTACCGCTACTATTAGATACACTACTTAAAAAGGATCCGCTAGTAAGAAAGACGAAATTAGAGCTATAGGATAGTAACCCTACTACCTTCGAGGCGCTTAGTGCTAACTAGTTCTAGTTCGAGGTAGTAGTACCTAACACTCCGCTATCAAGCTCGACATCTAACGCGTATGCGGATAATATAGACTAGGTAGCCGTGTTCGCTACGTAGTCGTATACGGGGAGCTTCCTAAGTGGGGTATAATATCCTTGTCCTCTCGGCTAGCACCCTACTAATTAAAGCTATGCCGTAGCGATACGTAATAACCCTACTTACTTAAATACTACGACCCGATTGCTAAAGATTTCCGCGTTAAATCGTTAAGAGCAGGCACTTTAAACCCTAATCGTCTTTCTAGCTTCCTAGTCTAGGCTATAGCTACCGACTACGTGCGATATAGGCTACCCTAAAGTCTTCTTCTTTCCCCGATTATTACTAGACTCCGTATCCTCCTCTTTATTATTAGACTTGTCTACCTCGTTAACAGACGCCTTTACCTAATCCTATTTACGAATAGAGTAACCGAAGCTCGTAAGTACTTATAGGTAACGGATTTACCTTATAGTAAATTTAGTAATTAGTTCTATCGTGTTAGCGAGCGATTTAGTTTAGATCGAGGCTAGATGCGTAGACTACTTATAGGGGATAATTAGTATATAAGGACGGAATAGGTTGCTAACGAGGTTGCTAAGTGCGGACGCTATTACTATGCTAGAACCCTAGGTATTATATACTTATGCCTTAAACGCCGTGCCGTTAGGATCGTACTATATATATTAGGAGATTAGGTCACCTATTAACCTAAGGTGTTAGTTCGTATCGAATATAACCTAGTCGCGCGCTACAACGGCGAGGTAGTCGAGCTCGAGCTAGAAGAAGTTTTTGTCGTAGCCGTTGCTAAAGGTAACGGTACGGGCGGATAGTAGAGTACGTAAGTCGTAGAGAGTTAGTAGTCGGTCTAGTACCGCGCTACTCGCCGATAGTCGAGCCTTAGAAGAGTACTCTTATACCCTAAGCGATATTATCTTCTCTATATTAAAACTCGTATCCTCGTTGCCGTATTAATTAGTAAAGCTATAGAGGTAGAGACGCTTCCTAGCGGCCTTACTCTTCTCGCTAGTAATCTGCTTTACCTACTCTCCCCTAAAACGGCCCTACGTAGTATAACCTACGATGCTCTCTAAAGTCTTATTAACCCCGTTACGACTATTACCCCTAACCTTATACTCTATTACTTATCCTTCGCCTTCGTGCTCGCCTAAGTAGATAGCAGCCTAGTACATTTCGCTATCTCTAGCAGCGGCAGAGTCGAAGGTGTCCTTTAACGGTACTAGCTAAAACTCTAACTATAAACGGAAGCTAGGGATGTCGTCGTGGACCCTAAGCTCTACTGCGGCCTAGTCCTTATAGTAGATTCGCTCTATCTAGGCGATAATATAGCCGCTTGCTATAATAATATAGCTAAGGGTAGGATAGGAATCGATAAGGTAGCGGTATATCGTTATAGTAGTAATTAAGGTAGCTATCTTTAAGAGACGCGCCGAAGAGGTGTTTACGCGATAGGTAAAAACCGACTAACCTAAGGCGGCTTAG